CGGGGCTTGAACTCACGAACCATGAGATCATGACCTGAGCCGAAGTCAGACGCTTAACTGACTGAGCCACCCAGGTGCCCCTCTTTTGCCCATTTTCTGATTGGGTCATCATTCTACAGGTCTTATGGCAGCACCGAATTATTTTGAGAATTAACTTTATAGTGAATTGAGACTGAGGAGTTTGAAACTGAGAAGTTTGAGTCCCCTAACTTTGTTCTTCTTTTTCAAGATTGTTTTAGCTTTCTGGGGCCCCTTGCAATTCCATATTAATTTGAAGATCCCAACTTTTCTATTTCTGCAAAAAAGGCCATTGGAATTTTAACAAGGATTGCATTGAATCTGCAGTTTGCTTTGTGTAGTTTTCTATCTTAACAAAATTAAATCTTCCAATTCATGATTATGGGATTCCTTTCCATTTATTTAGATCATCTTTAATTTCAGGAATGTTTTGTACTGCTCAGTGGTCTCCATCTGACCCACTAGGAATGACACTGTCCAACAGAAATATGATGTAAGCCACATAAGCCAATTAAAATTTTCTAGCCAGGCAAACTTAAAAAAGCAAAAACAAGTTACATTAATTATATTTTAATTAACCCAATGCACCAAAAAAAAAAAAAAATCAAAAACAAAAAACAAAACAAAAAACCCATCATTTCAACATCAATACAAAAAATTATTAACAAGATATATCACATTCCTTCTTTGTACTAAGTTTTTGAAATCTGGTGTGTATTTTATACTTAAACCTTACCTCAATTCAGATTAATCACATTTCAAGTGCTCAAGAGCCAGTCTTGTGTTATAAGACTATTTGACAAGGAGTTAAAACTCAAAGCTCCAATACACAACTGGAGGGAATGTAAATGAGCACATCCCTTTAGAAAACTATCTGGTTCTAGACGTCTATAAAACCGAAAATAGGGGCGCCTGGGTGGCGCAGTCGGTTAAGCGTCCGACTTCAGCCAGGTCACGATCTCGCGGTCCGTGAGTTCGAGCCCCGCGTCGGGCTCTGGGCTGATGGCTCGGAGCCTGGAGCCTGTTTCCGATTCTGTGTCTCCCTCTCTCTCTGTCCCTCCCCCGTTCATGCTCTGTCTCTCTCTGTCCCAAAAATAAATAAACGTTGAAAAAAAAAAAAAAACCGAAAATATGCATATCTTATAAACTACACTTGATCTTAGCCAAAAGGCCGAGAAGCGATGCATATCTTATAAACTAAGAACTCCACTCCTACATGTAGGATTCCGTCCCAACCCAACAGAAATTATGTGTACACCAAACACATTTACTAGAATACAAACTGCAGCACCACTGCACTGTTTGTCATAATGAAATGCTGGAAACTACTGAAAAGTCAATGCTAAATGACCAAGTGACAGCATAATTACATGATAGACTACCACACCAGCAACGAGAATGAACAAACCACAACTACATGCAGTAACTTGGATGACTCTCACAAACATGTTACTGAGCAAGAGAAGCCAGACAAGAAGGCATGCATGCTTCTGACTAATAAAGCTCAGAAAACCAGGCAAAATGTTGAAAGGCAAGAATAGTGGTTACCCTTGAGGAGTGGGTTAATGACCGTTTGCTAATGTTGTTTGTTGATCTGGATGCTGATCACACGGATGTGTCCGCTTTGTGAAAATTCATCTACATGCACCTGTAATTCCTATCCTTTTCTTGTATCTGTTTGTGCCCTTATATACTTGAAGATAAAATTTACTGAAAAAACAAGACAAAACTCTAATAGCTCCAGATGTACATGACTTAAAAGAATGGAACTGCTCCATAACCATGGTAAACACTTTTCAAAATCTCTTTTGATTGACTTTGGGATTTTCCAAAAACACTGAACTCTTAGAAAAGTATAGGGACAACCATACTATTGAGGTCTCGCCAAAACAGAAACGAACCATCTTTCCAAGTCTGGGTTCTTACCACATGGCCTCCAGCCACAAGCCTAGAAAGGCCCAGTTGATGTGTGTGTTGCTACCCGGCCTCATCACTTTCAGTTTTCTCCAAGCTACAGAAGAACCTTTTGGTTTTAAAAACATCAATATGGAAAAAAAACTTTCCTTGATTAAATATTTTACTACCTTCTCAGTATGCACGCCCTACTTCTTTATTGAAATCTTTCTTCTTTTTGAAATCAGAACAAAATACTGCCTATTTCCACAGACATATCCCCAGTGACCACTCTTTCAGATACTCCAGCTCTCCAATTTGGTCAACATTAAGACCTTTGATTCTCAGGCTGATGATCTAGGGAGTATGCTTCTAGGGCAGCGTCCCAAAGACATGAGTAATTTGGCTCGCCCAGTTGAGATGCTGCTCTTCCCACCGAGTAAGAGGCCAAAAGCACTGGAATGGAGCTCTAACGTACATATAACTCAGAAATACTATAAAATATAAAAAAGGAATCAAACTTTGCCTTGGCCAGTAAGAACTAAATTCTAGCTATAACCTACTTTTCACCATCGAATGTCCCTGAATCATCAAATATACCTCAGGTAACCGACAAGCCTAGGCTTGGCCTACTTCCACTTTACACTAGGCTCCTATGATTTATAACAGTGACTCTGAATCTTTAGTGTATGCACAAACCAACTGGGGATCTTGTTAAAAAGCAGATTCAGATTTCATACTAGAGTGGGGCCCCAATTCTGTATTTCAGACAAGTTCTCAGGTGACACTAATGCTGCCGGTCTGAGGAGGAACATGTATCATGCTTTCCTCTGCCACGTTCAGCCACTGCATGTTTGGTCCATTTGAGAGTCATTATTCATAAATTCAGATGAGCTCATTTGAATACCACCCAGAAGGACTACTAGAGAAAGCAACTGTCCTGCTTCCAACAATTTGTTTAGTGACAAAAATCTGGACAAATAAAACCTAAAGTAAAAAGCAGGGATAAAGCATAAAGAAGTTGGGGTGCCCGGGTGGCTCAGTAGGTTAAGCGTCCGACTTTGGCTCAGGTCATGATCTCGCCGTTCCGGAGTTCGGGCCCCATGTCTGGCTCTGTGCTGACAGTTCAGAGCCTGGAGCCTATTTCAGAGTCTGTGTTTCCCTCTCTCTCTCTGCACCCCCTCCCCCACTGCTCACGTTCTCTCTCTCTCTTAAAAATAAATAAACATTAAAAAAAAATTAAAGGGGCGCCTGGGTGGCTCAGTCGGTTAAGCGTCCAACTTCGGCTCAGGTCATGATCTCATAGTTAATGAGTTCGAGCCCTGTGCACTGGGCTTTGTGCTGACAGCTCAGAGCCTGGAGCCTGCTTCAGATTCTGTGTCTCCCTCTCTCTCTCTGCCCCTCCCCTGCTTGCACTCTGTCTCTCTCTCAAAAATAATAAACATTAAAAAAAAATTTTTTTTTTAAAGTATAAAGGAATAGAGGAACACAGAGGAAAGGCTCAAAATGAGAAAAGCCATTTTGGGATTAGGTTCCACGTGTTCACTTGGACAGCAACACTTATGCAAGCGAGAGCTAGAATTATTTTTAAAAAGAGACCCCAATCTAGAGAGAAAGAAGACCTAATCGCCCATTTACTACCACCATGATCTGAAGAAATGTAAGGAGATTACACTTCTGAGATTCTTAAGGTAAAAGAAACCCACCGACAACAGAAAAACTATTATTCCAACTCACCTTATAAGGGCAAGCAAATTGTCAAGAAGTTTCAGAATCTGTTCTGTGCAAGGGTTACGGAAGATTGGATTGCCACTGGGTGTATAACCCACGACAAATCCCCCAGCTTTGGCCTCTTCTAGGTCAGTGGGCCAGCAAGTTCGCTTCACAACACCCAGAATACTATATACACAAAAGCTCATCTATAGAAAAACATAAAACAAAAGATACCCATAAAGAGCAAGAAAAACCACAAGTGTTATTATGCGTATGCAATGTTATGGCAAACGTGATACAGAAGCCAGAGAGAAGGAAAGGAGACCAATTTATTTAAATAAATTCCTGTCCCTTCTTTTAAGGTCAATCTAAGAGGGATCCTTTCATTGCCATCTTTAGGACCAGTGGTAGGCTCTAGAAGTTTCCTTTACATGAGGTTGTCCTTCCAGAGGCTGCACTGACCCTCTTGTAGGATCCCAATTAGAAGATGGCCTGGACATGCTTCACAACCAAGTGTTTAGACTGCCAACATTTCGTCTTGTTTTGGCTGACCTTGCACCCCACCCACCCTCCATCTTGGGCCCTCACAGCTTTTGCTCTAATCCTCACTCATGGCACTCTCAACCAACCTACTACTTGCCAGGTTAAGTAGAATTCTGCCATATTGGAACCAAGAACAATGTTTATTTGAATATCAAAGAACTGAAAATTCTCAGGTTTGCAAGTTAGATCATCATTTAAGACTCTACTTCCCAGACAGCAGTGGCAGGGAGGACTCATACTGCCCACCAAATTCTACCTAATTCCTCATTACACTTCACTCTTCAGAGCTAGTTAGAGATCCTTAAAGTCAAAATAACGAGTTCAAAGAAAAGACCATCTGCTTTGCTGTAGGAACTAACACAAGAATTCAAGAGTAAAGAAGAAAAGAAAGGAGAAGCTTAGGGAAGTGGAGACTCCCAGATTTCTCATGCACATTAAAAAAAACATACATCTTTAAGAAACTCAACAAATGACAACACCCTATTCCCACCTGGGGTCCATGCAGCTTCCCATTCCCAGCCGTTTACTCACTCGTGCACGGTTTAAGCCACAGGGATCCTCCAGGCCTGGGTCACAGCTCTTGCGATCAGCTCCCACATAGGCAATAAAAGCATCAACATCTGACAGCACTCTGAAGGTTGCAGTGGCAAAGACAAGTTATACCATGATTTTAAGCAAAGTGAATTTCTTCCACAAAAGCTAATAAGCTATGATTATTTAGCTCCAAAGAGCAGTTGTTATAAAGTGAAAGGAACCTAATCATATTGTTAGCTGTCATTTGAAGGTTTAAATTTCTCCTCCCACTTCTTTTTTTTTTTAATATTTACTTTGAGAGAGAGAGAGAGAGCGAGAGTGAGCGCACACATGCTCAAGTTGGGGAGAGAGAGGGGGAGGGAGAGAGGGAATCCCAAGCAGGATCCATGCTGTCAGCACAGAGCCCAACGCAGGGCTCGATCTCACGAACCTTGGGAACCCTGAGCTGAAATCAAGAGTTGGACGCTTGACCTGACTGAACCACCTGGGTGCCTACTTCTCTTCCCACTTCTAAATGTCATTAGCAAAAAGAATGCGAGCTTGAGAATGCTCCATGGGCACACATAAGTGTCTATGCGATGCCTACTATATAGCCTCTATTGGCTGTTCTCATTTCTCTACATTGGTTCATGCTGCAATGTAGACACCATAGCAACTCTGACTCTGTGGCCTCCTGACCATACTACCTACTTTTACTCATTTCTTCTCTCTCCTTATGCCTCTGTACTGAAGGTGACATTTTCAACAATGAGAATTAAAGACTGCTTTTGAACTTCAAATATCACCAATGGGGTCATCACGCCTTGATATCCTCATACTCCCACCCTGGGAATAGCTCTTAAAATAGAATGGGTGCTCCAGTGCAGTGAGGGTCAGGGGCAAAGGATCTCCTCTACCTGTGCATGTCTTCAGAAAGCCAGATGCTGGCCACTGGTGCCATCAGCTCCTCTAGGAACACCTTCTGACGCTCGTAGTTCTTGAATTGGTTGCTAATGAGAACCAGGGCTTCCATGAGGGCACACTTCTCCATTTGTGTCAAGAGTAACTCATTGGAGAGGAGCTGCTTCACATGGTTATAAAGCATGTCAAAATTGGGCTGCAGATTACAAAGAAAAATACCCAAAGGTGATGAAGGTCTGATTTTCAAGGAGAGGTGGGTCACTCAAGGAAGGTGGAAAGAGGATCAAGGCATTCCTAGGAAGGTCAGGCCTATAAGACTGTCACTTAGTAATTTAGTTATAGCGTTCTTTTGCCTGAACAAGCAAGGCAATTCAGGCAGAAGGTGGTTCTTGTCTCATTTGGGTAACTGTACTTCCCCACAGTACAACTGTGAAAACAATGTTTTTTTTTTCTATATCAACTTTTATAGTATATTCAAAGATCAGTTTGTTTATACATGTTAGGAAGATACATAACTGCCAGTATTGAGAAGAAATTTCTGGTTAATTTGTAATCTGTAATAGTACAAAATTTCCTCTAGCAACCCTCCAAAACAGGCTGGGATTTGCATCTGGCTTCTCTCAAGATTAGGCACACCATTTGGCAGTAGTAAAGAATACCACCTAGTACGGTAAAAACGTGTACACTGACAGGGAAAACTTGGTCATCTATATGGAAAAGAACCACACATTTTGAGGGAATAATTTGCATTTTTAACTCCATTACTAAGTAGGAGAGGAAGAAGGCCATCAACTCAGGGATACTTACTTGAAGCAAAGCTACATACAGTTCCTAGCTTTCTCTTTATATGAGGTATACTTAGGGCTGGATTTACAGAACAGTGTAACTAAACTCAACAGGTCTCAGTGGCTACTGGTCAGAGTCCAGGGGCTTACCAGTACGAGCTGGGGGTAGTCACGACATGTCTTGATGATGGAAGAACAAGCATGTCTCCTCACATTCCTCACTGCCCGGGTTCTGGGGGCCTGGAAAGACATTCAACAAACTTGGGGCCACTTTTAATGTAATTTACAGATGCTGCACAGAATCACATAAAATACCTCCTTCAGAGACAAATTCACAATTTTCACACTGTGGGAGTTTAATGGAGTGACATTTATAGTCACCATGAATACACATGTTCACTGATTTTGCCTTAGAGTATCTCTACTATAAACACCATACCATAGGACTATGTCCTGCCTTTACTAATAACCCCTTCTACTTATAAAAAAAATCTAGCCTTATGGGTTAGGCATTCATACTTTTGCTCTCCAGAAGTTAGGATTTGTTGAATTAATGGTCTTACCTTACTTTCTTCAACAGTTTCAAAAGTGACAGATGAAAATAGCTAAGGGTAAGAAAAAAAAGTCACTCATCAGTACCAAATGCATAAAGTATTTAAAAATAATACTTAGATCTAGGTTTCCCACAAAATCCCAAAAGTGTAACAAAAGGGTTTTCAATCAGTGTTACGAAATTTCAGACTTTTTCTCAAATAACTCTACAAAAGGCTTGAGACTCACAACTTTACTATCAACCATTTCACAAAGGTGAAGGTCCCAGAAACCCCGACTAATCCAAGCCAACAGCCAAACACTCAACTATGGTGATTGTTGAAGTACACCTCACCATGGTGTAACTTCTCGACTCTTTAACCTAATACAGCATGACTACTGCCCTAGTCACTAGGACAGAATTATACTCTAACAAAGGTCTAATCAAGAAACCCCATGGATATTCCCCAATTCATAGAGTATTTCTGTTGCAACAAATGAGTCCACCTTTTTGAAGTTCTACTGAACTTTGTAACGCATGTTCTCATTTCTTTTTTCTTCTTTGGGGGCTTCTCGTTCTTTGCCTTCCTCCCCCAGTGACGATCCCCTGGGTTCCCTGCTTGAGCTACATGTCCATCTTTACATACATATCACCCTCTTTCCTACAGCTTCACCTCTACTGTAGGCACTTCTATGATGATGCCACCTTAATATTGTAATTTTCTAGAGTCCAGACCTTTAACCTCAAATAGTATTCTGTGAAGTGCCTCCTAGATGTTATCCCCAAACTGAACTTACTCCTCTTCCTTACTCTTACCAAATCCAGTATTCTCACTCAGATGGTGCTCCACTTACTCACCTAAACAGGAAACCCAAAAACCATCCGCACTGACCATTCCTCTCACAAATCCCCTCCTAATAATCTGATAGCACACTTTGATATCCTTCTTTAGGTATTCTTTTCCACTTTTCAGTACACCTGGCTATTAACTGCAATGCCACATGGGCACAACAACAGTTTATGTGATTTTATTTCCAAACAGAGCATCTAAAGGATAAGTAAGCCTTTTCTACTAACATGGTACCTGATCCACAGTAAGTACTGCATATTTGATGAATGAATAAATGACTCTTTATTAGCTTGTCTCAAAGACTCTCAAAAATAGTTACAAAAACAATAATTAGCTCAAAAATGCCAAAACAAAGTTTATAAAGGAGATGGCATTTACCTTAGAGAAGACCTGGGGCAGGAACTCTGGTCTGTAGGTGACAAATGGAAAGAGTGCAGAGACATTAGTGAGGACACAGGACAGGATGAGAGGATCCTTGGTGTCAAAGTTCAGGACCATTTGCAACAGCTCTATTCCATCATTAACAGGAAGTGCCTATAATACAGACATGAAAAGGAGGTTGGCAGGGCTAATAAGCACTTGTGGTAAATTAACCTTTAGGTTTTGGTTTATAAATACATAATATGGTTCACCACATACGGTTTTATATACTGCTTTTTATAAGCAGTACCCCATGTTATTAAAACTTTTCCTAAATGATGCTACTATGTGCTTTCATAAAGATGTAGCTTTTCCTGCTACTAGACACTGAGAATGTTGCTAGTTCTTTACTACTAAAAACAGTGCTAATAAATATCTCTGCAAAAAGATTTTGGCTACATTTTCAGTTATTTCATTTGAAGAAGAAATTTTTGGGGATGACTGGAATTACTTAATCAAGAGGTATGGGTATTTCTGAATTAATATTTTTCTTCTTTACAAGCTGCATCAATTGATTCTCTACCCACCCATATGCCCTTTTTACCATGTCCTCAGCAGCAGTTTGAGTTTATTCCCTACACTCAAGGAATTTATATAAATTTGCATTTCTTCAGTTGTGAAATATTCCATGCCTTTAAAAAGGTGTAAGCAATACTTTAATAGCTCTCCATATGACCACTTTGAGAAGTACAATGTTACTGACAGAGTGGTTGTTTTGTGTGCATACCCTAGAGGTAGCCACTATCCTGAATTTGATGTTCACAGTTTCAAGGATTCCCGCGTTTCTGTATATTTTTCCACAAATATACACATTCATAGTTACACAGAATTGTATGCCTACTTTTGTAGCTTGCTGTTGGGGGTCAACATTATGTTCATGAGAAATCATCCTTTTTTTTTTTAAGTTTATTTATTTTGAGAGAGAGAGAGAGAGAGAGAGAGAGAGAGAGAGAGAGAGAGAACGCACATGCACAAGCTGGGAAGGGGTAGAAAGAGAGGGAGAGAGAATCCCAAGAAGGCTCTGCACTAGCATGGAGCCTGATGCAGGACTCGATCCCAAGAACCCTGAGATAATGACTTGAGCTGAAATCAAGAGTTGGATGCCGAACTGACCGAGCCACCCAGGTGCTCTGAAAATCATCCTTATTCAAAGTATACCCTAGTTCTCTTTTTACTGCTCTATAAATATGTTATCTTCTATTCTGTACAGTCTATTGGGGGATAGTAAGTTTTTTCCTTGGCTCAACACACAAGGATTCTCTTCAATATTGGGGCTTGATGCACATGCAGGGTTTCTTCAGAGTACAGACTTAGCAGTGAAGTTGCTGGGTTATAAGGCGAGGCATCTCCACTAGACACTGCCAAATTATTCTCCAAAGTTGGGATACCAATTGTTTAAGAGATATAAGCTTTTATAGTAAAGATATTAATCCCATCGGTATTTACTCCAAACATTGCCCCAAGTTTGCCTTTCAAAGTTTGCAAGTTAAGAAAAAAATACGTAGTTATAGTCATTCAATTCACTTTTTTGTCATTACTTCCATTGCTTTTCAACTTAGGGACCTTTCCTCAAACACTAATTTTCCCCAATACTGTTTATTAAATGACCCAATCCCTCTCAATTTCTTTGGGATGCTTATACAAGCTCCAGGTTGTTTCTGGTCTATTTTGTTCCAATGAGCCGTATCTAATGTGAGTACCACATGCTTTAAAATAATGTAGCTTTATATTTTACTGTCTGAGGCAAATCAATCGTCATTTTCAAAATGTGATTTCCTCCCCCTCCAAAGCTATTCCATACCTTAATCCATTGCTAAAATAAGTCCTCTGGACATACAAGCTCAGCTAATGCCACTATGAACGAGAAGTAGCTTTTCAAAAATCCTTTCTAGCCAAAGAACCTCTTGGTCAAACTCTCTCACGGGATAAAAAGCTGAGCTGCTCTGATGGACCCTGGGTGAGGGTAGGGACCAAGAGCACAATGTGAGCAGTTTGTAAAACCACTGGATTAGGCGATACTACGCAGAGTCAGAAACTGGTAGCAGCAAGTGGGAATGTAACAGGCTGAGATCCGTCATGTGCACACTTCTGGGACATAGAACGTGTTACAGCTTTGTTAATAAGTTGGTGAATAATTTCATCATATACAATTCACCAAACACTTTAGGAATGCTTCATTCTGACCTGTTTTATTTTGGTGAAGAAAAAAAAGGTTTTAGAGTCAGAGGTTTGTCACTAACAAACCTAAATACTACTACTTAGGAATCTCCTCAGGAAAAAAGAATTTCGTTCTATTGTTCTCCCCACTAACTGTTCAGACTCTTACTCAATTTCTTGCACAGGGGCCATGCTGACCTTCTCTGTTCCAGTTTTAGTGTATGTGCTGCCAAAGTGAGCACCTACTCAATTTCTAATTGTTACCTTTGCTTTGTTTCCAGTCCCCATCTTTCCCTTATACACAATCCAACGTTTTGTACCTTTTGACCAACTAATATTTGGCATTTTGACCAAATACTAGCATATTATATGACTTAGCATACAATCCAGCCTACAACCTACGAGGCACCCTTCCCCTGATACTGCCAGTCCTTTCATGTATTTTAAAGACAAGTAGCTGACAAACCGTGACCACTTCATTCTCCTGCTTTCCAACAAGGTCATACCCACATATTTGGCTCCATCAAGATGTCTAATTAAAAATACCAGGAAAGGAAACCCCACAACCATTTCCCTTGATTCAGTGAAAAAAGGGCTTTCTTGACAGTTCCATCTAAATCTGAAAAAGGGCGCATTTAGTAAAAATGCAGAATCTAAGTACAATTTCCCACCTAAATTTTGGAACAAAATCTGAATACCATCATTTCAAACTCAAATGAATCAACGGAAAAGCAGATGACGTTAATGACTCTAAAACCTAATTTGTTAATATGCCATTTGTGAGAAAAAGCACTATATATCTCACTTATCTTCAAAGGATTTAGATTCTTCCTACAACTAACCTGGAACATACTAAGACATAATCACTTTAAAATGAGCGATCCAATGATTTTAACCTAATAAACCTAGTTAATACAGTATGTACTATCACCTACTTAATTATAGCTGCATCTAAGGTAGATAAGAGAAGAATGATATAGTTCATATGAAACACACAGAAACAAGATCAATTTATTCATATTCAGGAAAGAGGACACTGATAAGCTAACATGAATATTCTGGTCTACCTGCCGTAAACTGAGAAGGGTGCTTAATGGCAAACATCTCTGAAGATTTTTCCAATTCAAGATTACCATTACTGTCCTCCCTGCAATACCTGTTGTTCACTGTACTAACAGGGTTTGTCTTATTATCTCCTTAAAATAAAGACTGAACACTGTACACTTAGAGACAGAGGCTTGAATTTGAGGCTCAGCTCTACTGTTTACTAGCTATTTGAACTTGAGTATGTTATTTAACCTGATTCTCCATTTCCTCTTCTGTAGGATGCACATCCACAGATTTTCTAATCCCTCTGTCAATTTTAAAGAGATCAAAATCACTATGCCATTGGCACAGGAAACAGTTACTTACGTCTTTATCTAGTGTCCGAAACATCTGGTTGATTACACTTTCCAAAAAAAAGGTCATGGCTTCCCACTGCACAAATGAAGACGAGAAGATGGAGCAGAGGCTGCCTTCGCCAGTTCCAGCTGTAAGAGAACAGGGTTTTAACACAAACACCACCACCACCACCACTACCACCACCACTACTGCCACCACTACTGCCACAGGATCACAGAAGACAGGCAATGGGGTCTTAGACTAAGACCACTTAATTTCACAGTTGAAGGAACAGGGTAATCTAACCCCTCTCAGCCTAGAGAAAAAAAGAACTAAAAGTAGAGAGGAGTTCTATTCTGCCTCCACCTCTAACAATGAGCTGTGTGAATTCATCTCTGTGAGTCATATCTATAAAACCACTTTGAAAGCATCAAGAACAGTGCCTAGTCAATCACAGGCGACTGAAATATATCAACTAATCTCTCCTTTCCTTGCCCTTTATAACTTGTCTTTGAAAACCTATAGAATTAATTAAGATACTTGAGACCACAAAGAGTCCTTCCAAATAAACAACTAATACACAAAATGCTGCTTCACATCCAGTAGCCTCATGATAACTGCAAGGGCTATTATCTAGAGAACTGCGCCACCCTCCAATTTCACATTAAAGCATATCACTCAAACAGAAGAGCACAGGCAAAAAGATTTACAAATTACTTTTCTTGTTTCCATATAGTGCTTCCATTTACTAGCTTCCTCTTGGTGCAACACATTTGGCCTCCGCAAACATTCAACTTACTAGATACCAAGACCTTTAGAGTCAACTGTGAATATGCAAAACAGAATGTTAAATCCTGTGAATGTCAACTAACTAGTGTGGTTGGTAAGTGACCGTAAATATGGAGCCTTTTCAAAGGAGTAGCTTCTAGCTTTTCCTATTTTATTAAATCTTGTCACACATAGCATGCATTAACAAGACAACAGATGATATAGAGTATAGAGAAGTTACCTGGCTTATGCATTTGGGTACAGAGCTATTAGGATTTTATATAAAGTGGCATTTCCAAAGGCTATGAGGTGGCTGAGTGATATGGAAAGTCCCCGTACTGCTATTATGCCTAACAAGACATTCTTTTGAGTTTAGGAATGGTTCTATGCAAGAACTTGGTAGAAAAGCTTTAAAAATTAAGTCTAGACATGCAATTTGTTAAGATGGTGCCCAAAGTGAAGTAATATAATCAACAATGTGCAATTGGCTGACTCTGTTAGAAAACAAATGTGAAGACAAAACTGACAGGAGCATGGTTTTACCCTAATTTATTTTTAAACACTATTAGCATGTTGTTCTAAGTATGGCTCAGAAGGTTTATTTCCTATATATATTTGATACAATACTTCACTAATATTTAGAAATAAAAACATCTTACAGTTCATGGATCCAGGATCAACAGAAATTGACAGCTGATACTTCAGCCACTCCCCAGCCATCTGGAAACTAGTCTTTGGATCCAGACGACACGCTAACCTCATTACCTCTCCTTGCTGGGCCCGGGAGGCTGCCAAGAGAAAGATGTAAATCAATAAGCAGCATGTAATAGGTGCTTAATGTTCATTCATTTATCCATCCCAGGAGAAGAATGTTCAGAGACTCTGTTCTGCAGATTTGTGCTTTGAATGTAACAAATGTTCAATAAAGATGAACAAATCCAGAAATTTTCAATTTTAGGGATTTCAAATTTCAAATTTTAGGGATTGCCCTACCATTCAATCCTCAAAGAGGCAAACTAAAAGTGATCTCCCATTTCTGTTGGAATTAAAAGATTAGATTGGTACAGATGTAAAACAATGTGGCTGCTGTGAAAAACAGCCTGGCAGCTCCTCAAAACATTAAACATAAAATTACTATACGATCAAATAATTCCCTTTCTAGGCATACACCCAAGAGAAATAAAAAACATGTCTGTCCACTCAAGAACATGTACACACATGGTATAGCAGCATTATTATTATTTTTTTTAAGTAAGTTCTAGGCCCAATGTAGGGCTTGAACTCACAACCCCGAGATCAAGAGTCATATGCTCTACTGACTGAGCCAGCCAGACACCCTAATAGCAGCATTATTCTTAACAGCCAAGAGGTGGAAATGACTCAAATATCCATCAACTTATGTGGTATGCTCATACAATTAAATATTGGTGATAAAAAGAAACAAAGTATTGATTACACCATAACATGAGTGAATTTTAAAAACATAACCGTACATGAAAGGAGGCAGTCACAAAAGATCATATATTGTATAATCTGTTCTATATGAAATATAGAAATAGAGGATTACTGGTTGCCTGGTGCTGGTGGGGGGATGGGGGAACTGGGAATGATTGATTGCTAACGGGCACAGGGTTTCTGGGGGTCATGAAAATGTCCTAAAATTGTGGCAATAGTATAAATATATAAAAAATATATAAAAAACCACTGAATTGTATACTATAAATGGGTGAAATGTATGGTAAACAAATTATATCTCATAAGGCTGTTAGTTAAAAAAATAAAAGAATGGTGTGGAACCAGCCAGGCTACAGAAAACCCAGAACGCAACTAGGCTATTAGATAGCCTGTATTTTTTAGAGGACCAGCAAAGTAAGATGGTATTTAATCCCAAGTATAAAAAAAAATTCAAGTGCCTAACACACTGTTACTACCTAAACATCAAAGTCCAAAGGTTGTGTATGTGCACATGCGTGTGTGTGCATGTAATGCGTGTGCAAGAGAGGCTACTATACCTAGAATGAGTGCAATCCCAGTACCCTCTGCAATATGAGACTAGAGATTAAACAGGCTGCTGTCCAGATTTTGGGCCTTTAATATAGAACCCCAAGGGTCATGCACTATGATTCATAATACTAGATGCCATTCTTAGACTACTGGGAGAAATTCCAGGCCACTATCACTTACAGTTGAAGAAAGCATTGAAGTCCTCATCACTATCAAAATCAAATCGAGAATATTCACAGCTAGGGCTGTCTGTTTTAGAAGGAAAGCCCATCTGCAAAGAGAAAGATAATTGGGGTAGGGGATGAAAACAGACCTATCAAAAGAGTCTTAAACTCTAGGAGCTGAAGAAGTTTTTAATTTTTTTTTTTTTTAACGTTTTTATTTATTTTTGGGACAGAGAGAAGACAGAGACATGAAGGCAGGGGCAGAGAGAGCAGGGAGACACAGAATGCCGAATACCAGGCTCAGGTCATCAGCCCAGAGCTCGGCATGCGGAGGCTGAGAGACTCACGAGACTCGAATCGTGACCTGGGGTGAAGTCGGACGCTTAATCGATTCATCGCCATAGCCCGGTTCTTAAGAAGAAAGAAGAATTAACTGTCGATAAAGTTTTTTTATTTTTTATTTATTTATTTTTTTAAATTTTTTTTTTTTCAACGTTTATTTATTTTTGGGACAGAGAGAGACAGAGCATGAACTGGGGAGGGGCAGAGAGAGGAAATATTGGAATCGAGGACAGGCCTAGGCTCTGAGCCATCAGCCCAGAGACCCGAGCTCCCGAGGCTCACGACCTCTCTGCGGAGATCGCTATGACCTGGCTGGTCAGACGCTTAACCCGACTCTATATGCTCACCGCCACCCAGGCGCCCCAAGATCTTTTTAAATAAGTAACTGCTTCTGGTCTACCCCAAGTCCACCATTTTCTCCTAGTTCCAATAATCCTGACAGCGGTAGAAAAGAGAACACTCATTTGACACTCTCCTCTAGATTCCTCAGGGAGAATTAAATTCTACAATTTGCTTAGGGTGCCTGAGTATAAGGCTGTCTCAACACAATGTGCTAATACGGTAGGCAATAAGCAAAAAAGAATCTAGAACTATGTGTCTCCTTAAATGCTGACCCCCGGGAACAAGCATGGAACTTTGTATGTTTCACTTAAATGGTAATGAAGACCATGGCAAAGAATTAGAGCAGGGTGTGCCATGTGCTAGCATATTCCTTGAGGAAATAAGAGGACACTTAAATAGGTCTCATTCTCTGATTTTACAAATCAAGATTAAGCATCTGTCAGCTGCAAAAGCACTTAGCTGATCTCAAGGAATTCACAAGCAAGTTTACAGAGGTGGTGAGCAATTTGCTTCCACTCTCCCTCCTCTCTTCTCAGTCACCCTCATACTCTCACGGACCTTCAGAAACAATCACATATTACCTCCTCTTAAAATCTTAACTCTACCCTGCCTGCTTTCAATCTCTGAAAAGCATTATCCCGTTGCATGGTCATGGTCATTGCTCTTGTCCTACTTCTTCCTAGCACCTAGCCCAATACTTACTATAAAAGTGCTCCAAAATATGAAAAAGTAGATTATAATGACCAGTTTGGACTGCTTTCTTCTTGGTGAATAAGAGAATGACATGTCCAAGGAAGAGATCTTAGTGACCAAGACTGGGCTGTCACTTGGATGCCAATCTAAGTCTTATTGTGTGTAATTCGCACTGCACATTTTGATTCCCAATGCATACCTTGACCAAGTTAGTCATAGAAGCACGAAGATATTTTGGTATTATTGCTAACAGCAAAGGGTCACGGGATAGGATCTCATGACGGAAAAGTGCCCCCCAAGTCATTTGAGTTGAAGAGCGCAGAAACTAAAAGGGAAAGAAAAAAAAGAGAAACCTCAGTTTAAGGTCTGCATTTTATATAACCAAGATTATGACTTAGCCCAGCAATTATCAACAGTATTTTTTCATGGAAATAAATCTCTGTAATATTTTGAAACTGGCCATGCTGTACTGCATCAGTAATGACGGCCCGTTACAGACCACATACTAATGAGACAGACCATGGGTCAGGTGCAATTCCTGGAGTGTGAACTGAGCTTTACCACTTTTTCTTCTTGTTTTATTTTAGGTAAGCTCTACACCCAATGTGAGGCTCGAACAACCCAGAGATCAAGAGTCATATGCTCTACTAACTGAGCCAGTCAGGTGCCCCTCTACCACTTTCTTTAATGGCAAAAAAGGATACAGGAATCTCAGGGTGGTATTACAAGGAAAACCTTAAATGTGAGAAATTAATTTTATAACACAATCAATTAGACTTTTGCACTTAAAATACCTTTAGGAGCAAATCACCTGGGATATAGCTCACATCTGATAGAACACTAGCAGAATATTACCTGAGGGGAAAAGCTGTTGACTTACATGACACAATGCTTGGCTCAGGAAGAAGACTCAATAATTCTTTAATGAAATGACACTATAGTTACTTCCTAGGGCCTTAAGAGTCATATTTTATACACAAGCTCCTAATTACTTCAGGTCATAGTGCTTCATTTTGGTTTACTTAACTAAAATTTTGAGATGTTGCCTACATAAAGTTTACCTGACTTGGATGGGTTGTGAAAGCAAGAAAAGATTCCAGGTATTTTCCAAAGTTTGCTGGTGTTTCTACATCAGAATCCACACCCTGAGGGACAAAAAGACCACTACATTAATGACACTGAAGGCGGGGGTGGGGTGGAAGAGGACAGCAAGAAGAGTAACAAATACAGCTGACCCTTGAACACAGGGGTTAGGGGTAAAAAATCCACATATAACTTTTGATTCCCCCAAAACTTAACTGCTAACAGCCTCCTATAGACCAGGGGCCTTACTGATAAAATAAACAATTAATACATACATGTATATATATTATATATTGTGTTCTTATAATAAAGGAACCTAAAGAAAAAAAATGTTAAGAAAATCATAAGAAAGAGAAAATATATCTACAGAACTGCACTATATTGTCAAAAAATACCTGAGCATAAATGGACCCATGCAGCTCAAACCTTGTTGTTCAAGGGGCAACTGTACAGAACTTAAACCCCCACAAAGTTCAGTTTTAAAAGGACCATATACTTCCTTGTGACCTAAGGCATCAACTCAAGGATTTACCTCCTTAATCGTTATCATTAAAACTCATTCTGTGGTCAAATACGAAAATAAAAAAGAGCATTCATTTCACAAATCACAGAAAGGAAAAAAAATCTGTATTACTGCTTCAGACCTGGTCTATTCAGATTTCTGTGACCAAATCTATTAAACAACCACTTGATGGTATACATCTCATGTCTGAAGATCTGTCCTCTCTAACCATTCAAACCACCACAAAAAGACGTAACATTAGATGCAAACGTCTATACCAATTGTCCTCTCAACTTGTAAGACTTGAGTTCTTAAGTATTTCCCTAAAGACAGGTATTTCTAAGTCAATCAGACTAAAGTTTTCTTTTATGACCAATAATATCCTTTAAATTTGGGAACAGAGTTCTTTATTTGAATGCATAATATTTCATAATCTAATAGACCTCAAAGGGTAATGCATTCAGCAAACTGATATTCTACAGGTACCAAAATTCACAAGAATGGCAAAGTTGACTTTATGGAATAATAGATGCGGATGTTTCCTGTTGACATCGATAACTGACTTGTTAAGAGAAATTTACATCATTCAAACCCTTTTACAAGAATTTAATCTATAAAATTGTATGAAATAACCTGTAGGGCAATTTCCACAAGGCTAAAATCAATGGCATGTTTCACTCACTATACAAATGTAACTTTCTAAACGTTCTACTCAAATGGTCCTGAAACTTGCTAGAAAGTGCTCACCAGCAATGCACAGAGCTGATTGCCCAGAGCACATAAGACCTGACAGAGTCTCTTCAGGAAGACATAGTGTTTTTCTACCAAGCCTCCTCCATCAGCAGTCCTGTAAGATGAGAAAATAGTGTGATTAGGTGTACATCAAGAGAACCAAAAGGATTCCCACCAAATGCAGCTGTATGTGGTCTGTGCTTCAACATTCAAATTTCTGCTGATTATTAAAGTTAAAAAACTAAAAAAAAAAAAAACAAACAACAAAACAAAAAACCTCCAACCAAACACTGAAAGATCAATGAGCAATAAAGTTCAATGCAATCTTATCCCTCAAAGAAGCACTCTAATTTTGCACATTATATGGTCTTTGAGTATTTTGGGTTAAATAAGATAAACTCTGAACACGACTGCATACAAAATGCATACATACACTTATAGGCATGAAAAGCTGCACAAAAAGACATTTGTTGGTACCCAGGGAGGACTTAACAAGAGATCCCTAGGCAAAGCATGTAACAATTCCTTATACCGCTGACAAAAATAAAAGGACTATAATCAAGAAAATGAAAAGACAAGCCACAGACTGGGAGAAAATATTTGCAAAAGACACATCTAATAAAGGACTGTTATCCAACATATACGATGAACTCTTAAAACTCCACAATAAGAAAACAACCTGATTAAAAAAATAGACCAAAGGGCTTAACAGACACCTCACCAAAGATATACAAATGACAAACATATGAAAAGATGCTCCACATCATATGTCATCAGGAAATTGCAAATTCAAACAAGATACCACTACACACCTATTCGAATGGCCAAAATCCAGACCACTGACAACACCAAATGCTGCCAAGGATGTGGAACAGGAACTCTCATTCATTGCTGGTGAGAATGCAAAATGGTATAGACACTTTGAAGACAATTTGAGTTTCTTACAAAATTAAGCATATTGTTAACATATAGTCCAGCAATCACACTTCTTAGTATTTACCCAAAGAAATTGAAAACATGTTTACACAAAAACTTGCATGTTTATAACATGTGAAGCCTGGATGTTTACAGATTTGTTCTTAACTGTCAAAATTTGGAAGCAACCCAAATGTCTTTTGGTAGGTGAATGAATAAACTGGTACATCCAGACAATGGGGTATTATTCACTGCTAACAAGCAATGAACTTTCAAGCCATGAAGACACATGGAAAAACTCTAAATAGCATGTTACTAACTGAAAGAAGTCAATCGGAAAAGGCTATATACTATATGATTCCAATGATGTGACATTCTAGAAAAGGTAAAATTATGGAGAAAGTAAAAAGATCAATTGTTACCAGAGGTTGGGATGGGGGAGGAGAGATGAATAGGCAGAGCACAGAGGATTTTTTGGGTACTGAAAATAGTCTGTATCATACATACATGTTTTTACAAATTTGCTGAAACCCACAGAATGTACCCATAGAATATACAACACCCAAGAGTGAACCCTAAAACTATGGCTGGATGATTATAATGTGTCAGTGTAGGTTCATCAATTCTAACAAATGGACCACTCTGGTTGGGGATGTTGGTAATGGGGGAGGCTATGCGTGTGTGGGGGCATGGCGTATACGGGAAATCTCTGTACCTTCACTATATTTTGCTGTGAACCTGAAATTGCTCTGAACAATGTAAGTTTCTTTTTTTAAAAGCAATAAAAACATAACCTTGTGTGTCATTTCTCCAAGTAATTTAGTTCAGATCTATAATCCTTTATCTACTGTTTCAGAATCAAGATAGCTCTTAAAAAAAAAAATAACTTACTTGGTGGCAAAACCTAACCGGAAATGATGCAGGGATATTCACACTAATGAGAGTAAGAACTAGTGTGGACAGCAGCCATGTTAGCTGTGTTCTGGAGCCAGCAGAGTATAATGTAAAAAGCATGGGCCTCAAGGTAAGCAAGACCTAGGCTCTAGTGATGTTGAAGGGCAATATGGCATTATGGTTTCCAGTGCAGGCTCTTGAGTCTTGATTCAAACCGCCTGGGTTTGAATCATACCTTTACTCACAGGTATCAGTAAGTAACACAAATGGAGATGGGACACCTCAGTGTGAATGTCATGGTCTTTACGGAACTAAGAAATGGGCCCTGGAGGGGCGCCTAGGTAGCTCAATCGGTTGAGCATCTGACTTCAGCTCAGGCATGATCTCACAGTTCATGGGTTTGAGCCCCACGTCGGGTTCTATGCTGACAGCTCAGAGCCTGGAGCCTGCTTCAGATTCTGTGTCTCCCTCTCTGCCCCTCCCCCACTTGCGCTCTCTCTCTCAAAAGTAAAATAAACATTAAAAAAAAAAAAAAAAAGAAATGGGCCTTGGAAACAGTAACTACAGTGGCCATCCAAAAGACATGTTATGAATTTAATGAAGAGAACCCCTTAAAAACAAAGCTAGTCTTTACAGGAAAGAAAGCCATCATAAAAGCCGTGTTGAAATGGACAGCAAGAGGGGCACCTGGGTGGCTCAGTGGGTTGAGCATCCAACTTCAACTCAGATCATGATCTTGCAGTTCATGAGTTTGAGCCCTACATGGGGCTTGTTGCTGTCCAGTGTGGAGCCCACTACAGATCCTCTGTCCCCCTCTCTCTCTGTCCTCCCCTCCTTGTACTCTTTTCTTTCTCTCTACCTCAAAAATAAACATTAAAAAAGAAAATAAACAGACAATAAGAAATTTTAAGTAATACGTGTGTCTGTCTCATATCTTTTCATTTGTCCCTAGTACTAAGAATATCAAAAAAACAAACAAAAAAAAGAAAAACAAAAAAACAGGGGGCACTTGGCTAAGTCAGTTAAGCATCTGACTTCGGCTCAGGTCATGATCTTGCGGTCCATGGGTTTGAGCCCCACGTCAGGCCCTGTGCTGACAGCTCAGAGCCAGGAGCCTGCTTCAGATTCTGTGTCTCCATCTCTCTCTGTCCTTCCCCCATGAGCTCATACTCGTTTTCTCTCTCTCTCAAAAATAAATAAAAACATTAAAATAAATAAATAAACATTAAAAAAAAAAAAAAGGATGTTGTGACAGGTTGAACTGTCTTTGTAATACAGTTCTATCTGCCTTCCTGGGTAAGAAACATGTATCAGTAAATGCTCAAATATTTTCCAGAGCAATTAAAAGAAAGTAAGTAGAAGCCATTATTTTAAGACAGATAATGTGTTTACAAGGTCCCATGCATACATTTCTCATCAAACACACTGTTCCCGCTGTTTCCAAGAGCCTCAGCACTTCAGGCATTGAGTACTTTGAGCAGGAAAGGAAGGAGGAGCATCTGGAGTTCTGCAGTCAAGGCAGGCCTGGGGCAGACTCTAGTACAGAAGATCAGAGCATTCTCAGGCCTAGGCACCAATGCTGGTAGGAGGCTTGGGGATCACCAGAAGCAGACAGAATCAAGATGAGCTATCTGGGAAGAATGGGAAAAACTGTGGAAGTGGCTGGGTGCAGAGTCAATGGCCACAACTTACTTGCAGCATAAGGTCTTTAAAAAGATTAAAAAGTCCCTTTAAGACTACCCAACTTCTTTATTAAAAACACTGTCGACTGACTGCCAACATTCAGGTAGAACTTCAGATTTATCTATATAATATACGTAAATGGCAAAGAAATTAGAAAACACATAGAAAAGCAGATACTCACTGTGCAGCAGAGAGTATATAATGCATAGCAACATCCCCAAATAAGACCATCAAGGGCTTCCGGTCTTCCAGCTTGCCCTAGAACCAATTTTAGGGAAACACAGGTAATACAAACTCTATTACTAAAAGTCTCCAAGTACTAACATCTTCTATACCTATATAATCAAATACACTGATTTCACAATTTCTCAATCCCAGGGCTAACTGAACACTAGAGAAAAGGCCAATTCTTTAAAATAAAATCTGGATAACACCTCTATTTTTTTTCTTTTGTTTTTTTTTAAGTAGGCTTCACACCCAGCATGGAGCCCAACGTGGGGCCTGAACCCATGACCCTGAGATCAAGACCTGAGCTGAGATCAAGAGTCAGATGCTTAACTGACCAAGCCACCCAGGAACCCCTGTAAGATTTCTATTTTTAAATGTGTCATGCGGCACCTGGGTGGCTCAGTTGGTTAAGCATCCAACTCTTGGTTTTGGCTCAGGTCATGATCTCATGGTTCATGGGTTCAAGCCCCATATCATTCATGGGTTCATGGGTTCATGGGTTCATGAGGTTCAAGCCCCTGATGCTGTGCCATCAGCACAGAGCCTGCTTGGGATTCTATCTCCCTCCCTCTCTGCCTCTCCCCTGCTCGCTATCTCTCAAAAATAAATAAACATTTAAAAAAAATAAATGTGTCAGGCAATAATGCTCATATGAAAATAAAGTAAATTACATCTGAAGGCAACATTCCTGTGGAGAAAAGCTGTCATAGTCCCATTTGTTAGCCTACACCAATATAAAGCCAGCGCTGCCACCGTCTGAGATTTTTTGACGTAACACCGAGTTTTAAATTTTAACATTACTTTTATCGTGTTTCTTAAGTGCGAAGTGCCAAGATTCATAGCTGTTTCAAGAACCAAGTAGCCTGACAAATTTCTACATGCTGCCAATGGATCCCTATAATATCAGCATACTCTTATCCAAAGGGGTTGGACACAAGTAGCTAAGTTGATGTCAGATAAATCCCAAACTTTTCAATGTCTTTTTGCTACAACATACAATTAAACACCCCCCACCCCCAGCAGAGGCTCTGAGGATAAGTCAGTTTGAAGTGGTAACTTACTTTTCTGCTGACTGCAATGAGAAGACACTCAGCTGCTCCCAACTGAAGTTCCTGTTCATTCAGAAGCAGGCAGAGCATCTCTAAGAGCTTACAGTTTTCAGCAGTAATATGGCTCATGGACACCCAGTCAATGTAGCCTGCTAGAGTATTCAGTGCTGCAATTCCTACTCGACAGTTCGCTTGGGCCTGCGTGAAAAGAAGTAACTTTTGATCATTAAGTCCTCACTAACAGACAAAGAGGCTATGGTCATACCTGAGCTACTTCTATTTTCTAATTCTAAAAAGAAAATGATTTTAGAAAATGTACTCATGTAACAGCAACTGACAGGGAACTCAAAGGTCTGACACACAACCACTTCTCAAACAACAGCATTCTCAATGTCTGTCAATAAGACCATATGGCACATGTGGCCATTTCGTCTCCTCTGATAAACTGAAAATATTATAATTTTAACTCCCTTCTACCATAACTCAAAGATCACACAAACCAAGGCTGAGGTCACCCTCCACTAGGTGTATGCATCTCTGTACCTGAAAGCCTCAAAGAAGTCTCCTTCCAACTCCACAAGAGCTCTTACCTTTGATTCCTGAGAATTATCTGTCTTCTGAAAGAAAAGAAGTATAAGAATCCAATGTTTTTAATGAGCAAAAAGCTATGTAATAACTTTCCACCCACTTAATGAAGTCCCTTGAATAATGACTTTTTAAATACAGACTCAACTTTCAACCTTCGAAAAAAATACAACTTTACTAAGAACATATAGCTGATGTTCCCCCTAAGAAAGAAAGGTTATTTTAGCAGTATGACAAAAAGTTAGTACTTAAAGAGCTTACACAGATGTTACAACATAAAGTCCACAAAGATAGTTTCAAAACACACGGCTTACAAAGAAATATAACAGATGAAAATAAGGATCAACAGTGCTAGTGATGAAAGAAATCTAGCTTAAAACAAAGCATGAGCATTTTTTCCACATTCAAATAAAAACAAATTATACCTAGCAAAAGTATACTGAAATAATGTAAATGGAGAAAAAACAAGAAACAAAATTAAATACAAGTTATGACCATGTATATATGGATATTACAAATCACAAATATTACATGCTAGACAAAAATAACATCTGTTCAGTAAATGTACAATTATAACTGATTTTTACCCTTCCATGTCCAATTCGACAAATATTACACAATGCTAATGATTTACGCACACAAAATTATTTTCCAAAAAAACTTCTGAAGGGGAGCTGAAGGGGAAGAGAAGCAGGAATAACAACTTGTGAAGTACCTGAAAAGTCACTGCCTTTAGGATTATAAAGGATTTGTTTCACAATTCCTCGTCTCAACTTTTAAAAATGCACTTGTTAATAAAGGACAAGTATTAAACCTTCGTCAACAGTGACTGAGCAGAGGTGTTAATGGGTGGAGACGGGTAGAACCCTCTTACCAGCATCTACTGATGCTGCCCAAGAAGGAAAAGGAATCCAAGCAACAATAGCCAAGTCTAGTCTTTCCTCTCCAACAATTTTTCACTCCCACTCTGACCCTTTATGCTCCCCTCAGACCAGTTCAGGGGCCAGGTCATGGGCCAGGGAGAGTGAGCTTACTCATCTGATCATTGTTAACATTCAACCAACTGCCTAATCGGGAAGGTGAAGGGATAGACAGAGAGAAGAGATGGAAGAAGGGATGCAACTTCTCAAGCAAAAGAAGTTGTTCCAGGTACAAAAGATGGCTCTCGGCTGTGCTCTGGTCTTGGACACAAGTGGTAGCCTGGTAGATGGAGGGAACTGAAACTGAGGCTAAAGAAAAACACCAGCGTATGTTTCTAATGTCTCAGCTCGGGCATGTTGGCTAGACTGCTAGAGCATCTAAGGGGTCATAATGTGTTCCCTTTCTCCTACAGATCAGATCTCCTGGGGAAAATGAAAACAATACCTCCTTCACTCTCAATATAAATAAGTTTCTAAATGCCAATATTTTCCTGGTATCTTTTGAAAAATCTTGGGGAGATATTTTGGGGGAAATGGGCCATTCTAGTGTAAAGAACGGGACTTGAGTTCCACCACAAACATTAGGGAATCTTCAATAATTATTCTCTGTACCTTCATCTATAAAATGGAGACTATACTTTCAGGGTTGTTTTGAGGATTAAATAACACATAAAGTGCAAACAAGTATATAGCATATGTTAGGTACTTACTGAGTTCCTCCCCACCCCAACAGCTCATAGTACCTTCTCCTCATTTGTGTTAGTATCTACCATTTCTCTAAAAATACAACGAAGGGGCACCTGGGTTGCTCAGTAGGTTAAGCATCTAACTTTTGGTTTCAGCTCAGGATACAATCCCTGGGGTTGTGGGATGGAGCCCCACACTGGGCTCTGTGCTCGCAGCATAGAACCTGCTTGGATTCTCTCTTTCTCTGCCCCTCCCCTGTGTGCATTCTCCCTCTCAAAATAAATAAATAAAACTTAAAAAAACAAAACAAAACAAAAGAATGAGGGGTGCCTGGGTGGCTCAGTTGGTTAAGTGTCAAACTTTGGCTCAGGTCATAATCTCGTAGTCTGTGGGTTCAAGCCCCAAGTGGGGTTCTGTGCTGACAGCTCAGAGCCTGGAGCCTGCTTTGGATTCTGTGTCTCCCTCTCTCACTGCCTCTCCTCCCCCGCTCACACTCTGCCTTGGTCTCTCTCTCAAAAATAAAATGTTTAAAAAAAAAAAAAAGAAGGAAATGTGTTTATTTTGTGAAATAAACACATACAAGAATTCTAGATCAGGGTTTTACCACAATACTTTGGCATTCTGTGTTGGATAAGTCTTTATTGTGAGGGACAATTCTGTGTATTATAAAATGTTTGGCAGTATTCTTGGCCTCTACCCACTAGATGCCAGTAGCAACCCCTAGTTGTGACAATGTGGGGGGCAAAACCGTCCTTTGCTGAGAACTACTGTACTACATTAACTTTTACATGACATTCTTCTGAAAGCTCTCTACTAAAAAAAGACAATGGTTGGAAAGATAGATCTGGCTTGCCCTTTTCTGCAGAAGAGATACCTTATCAGGAAGAATAGAACACAGGTATTTCCCACTTTTCAAAATTTTGTGTTATGCCACTTTGTTTTTAATGACCCACATTAATACCTGTTTTCTCTAACTGAAAGAAATCTGAAGAGGATTATTTGCTTTTACAAAGTGAGAATAACTTTCAGCCTTGTTAGAGCAAGCCCTTATAGAGGCACCACTAAGTTCCTTGCCCAAGAATGGCAGTCAGCATCTCAGTCAAGCAGCTGCAGCTTTAGACTGTCTGTGGGCATCTGTGCTTTACTGTGATTATTTTGTGCATCTGTTAACAAGACGTGTCCTAAGATGTCAGAAAAGCCAACGAGAGGTGTTTTCTTTTGGCATGGGAATGCTCAAAAAATTTTCCACATAAATTAATGGTAATTTCTTCATACTATGCCATTTGGGCTTACAACAGGTTTCAAAGGAACTTCTTTCAGGTAGTGAGGTAAACCTGTACCGAAAATCATATAGTCAAGAGGAATAAAACCCAGCAGTTTCCACAGCAAAAGGGACCAGAACTAAACAGGGCATCTGACCTACCAGAAATCCGGGCTTTAAATATTTTAAATGCTAAGAATTAATCATTTTTATACTGATTTAAGAATTTTCTTATTGTTTTTAAGAAAATCTTTTTTTTTAACGTTTATTTATTTTTGAGACAGAGAAAGACAGAGCATGAACAGGGGAGGGTCAGAGAGAAGGAGACATAGAATCTGAAACAGGCTCCAGGCTCCGAGCTGTCAGCATAGAGCCCGACGTGGGGCCCGAACCCACAGACCGTGAGATCATGACCTGAGCTGAAGTCGGCCGCCCAACCGACTGAGCCACCCAGGCGCCCCTCTTATTGTTTTTAAAATAGATATGGAAACTCATTGACTTGAGTTTCTTGGAAAATTACTTCCAGTTTTTCCTGTCATCTGTTTCTCTTTTGATGGTTTTCTTTCGCTCAACTTTTAACTTAGAAAAACAAACAAAATCCCACTCATATTAGAAAATAGAAGTTTGGGTGCCTGGGTGGCTCAGTTGGTTAAGTGTCTGACTCTTGTTTTTGGCTCAGGTCATGATCTCATGGTTTTTGAGAATAAGCCCTGTGTCGGACTCTGTGCTGACAGCACGGAGCCTGTTTGGATTCTCTCTCTCTGCCCCTTCCCCATTCACACCCTTTCTCTCTCTCTCTCTAAAAGTAAATAAACATTTAAAAGAAAATAGAACTTTTGGGAGGTGAGGTATCCCTTACCACTTGTCGGTACTTGTTTACATTTTCTTGAAGCGTGTTAAGTAGAAAACTAAATATTCTTTCCATGTTCTGGGTTAACGTTTGTTGGATATCCCTTCTTCTTTGAGGGGGTAGGGTTTGAAAGGTCACTACATCCTCTGCCAGTCGTAAAAGGATGAACATCACTAATTCTGTCTGTGTTTCCTAGATCAAAGAAATAAAGTAATTAAATTAAATAGAAACATCATTTTCACTATGGGTGAGCCCAAAGACTCTTTTCTGTTGACAAAATGAACTCCAAAAGAGCCCCTCCAAAATAAACTGAATTGATACAGCTATATTTCATACCCCTTGTTTAGAAAGAGTATCCAATTCTATTAGCATATCAGGCCAGTGCTGTGGCCACTCCCGCTTGATCATTTCTACTACAATTCGAGACAAAACATCTTTAATATGGTTCTCCTCTTCCAAAATGTCCAGTGTTCCCTGAAAAACAAAAAGAGATAGTAAGAGGTCTGTAAGACTGAATTTAAAAAACACAAAAAAACCAACCACCTGGGCTGTGAAAGTATACAGAACTTCAGCAGGCTTCCTTTTAAACTAAACAGAATAAAACCTGCTCTCCAGGTCTGAGTCACCTGCCCTGCATTCTCACGAATCATTTTCCCCACTTAAAGCTTAAGTGAGGGTTGCATCAGCTAAAAAAATGACTGTCACACAGAGCAAGGAAGACATTACTGTTCTCCTTTACCAAGTGAAAAGGCTCTCATATTGACTTTCATTTTGTAAGAGCGCCAACGTGAAGAGTACAAAAATGAGGACAATAAGCAGCTGATAAAATGGGAGAATTAGGAGAAGCAACTGAACATGTGACTCATAGTTCTAGCATTATAAGACACAGAAAAACTATTCCCAGGAACGGGGCACCTGCATGGCTCAGTCGGTTGAGCATCCGACTTCGGCTCAGGTCATGATCTCACAGCTTGTGAGTTCGAGCCCCGCATCAGGCTCTGTGCTGACAGCTCAGGGCCTGGAGCCTGCTTCGGATTCTGTGTCTCCCTCTCTCTCTGCCCCAACCCACTCACATTCTGTCTGTCTCAAAAATAAATAA